AACAACAACAACAACAACAACAACAACAACAACAACAACAACAACAACAACAACAACAACAACAACAACAACAACAACAACAACAACAACAACAACAACAACAACAACAACAACAACAACAACAACAACAACAACAACAACAACAACAACAACAACAACAACAACAACAACAACAACAACAACAACAACAACAACAACAACAACAACAACAACAACAACAACAACAACAACAACAACAACAACAACAACAACAACAACAACAACAACAACAACAACAACAACAACAACAACAACAACAACAACAACAACAACAACAACAACAACAACAACAACAACAACAACAACAACAACAACAACAACAACAACAACAACAACAACAACAACAACAACAACAACAACAACAACAACAACAACAACAACAACAACAACAACAACAACAACAACAACAACAACAACAACAACAACAACAACAACAACAACAACAACAACAACAACAACAACAACAACAACAACAACAACAACAACAACAACAACAACAACAACAACAACAACAACAACAACAACAACAACAACAACAACAACAACAACAACAGCAACAACAACAATGAGGTCTATCGAACAATTCGAAGCAGCAAAGCAATACACCACCCAACTTGGGTAGGTCAGCAATATCAGAGATAAACGGAGGGGGAACCTTTGCGAAAACACTTTCTGACTGTTTATGATCTTCTTGTTACAGCCGTGGATAGTTGCAGCATAGCTCGTTCTCATGTATTATTCTCTTTCAACATGCATTGAGATTGCATGTCTCAGTACTACTTGTCAGTTTTGTGCATTTTTGTCGCAGACTGTATAAGATCTGATCACGCTGGTGGACAGTTAGTCATAATTCGTAACATTCTGTCCTTTTCCTTTTTCACCATGATTCAATTGGCTTACCATCCGAGTTGAATTAATACTGTTAATTTAATTTTGTAATTAGGCATTCCAACAGACCCTACAGACCATTTCGAAAACATCGACAATCAGGTTGTGGTCCTAATAAGTATGTAGAAGAGGTAAAATCGGAAAACAAAGTACCGGTACATAAAGAGGCTATAAAACATAGAGGGGCTAGTTAGGGCATGGTAAATTATTGTTCTGTGAAGGTTTCGGAATAATTGGACCAGCCGTTAAGGAGTTAGGGATTTTTTGTTGACAAATATTTTTCGTATTTCCTGATCATCAATTTATTTGAATTTAGGAGTCGGCGACGCCTTCTATCCGCTTCTACAGTCTCCTGTCTATCTCAAAAAGCCGCCAAAGTCACACGCATTGATGGGTTTGCCAAAGCATGTCCTGTAGAATGAGTCCATGTGCTGAGAATAAATTAATTGCATCGCAGGGACGCATCTCAAAGATAAAAAGAGAGCTGAGAGAGAGTTGGGGTCCAGTATGAGGAGGACGAGACATTGAATGGTGGTCGCCACAGTCACAGATAATAGCGGTGCTAGTGAGGCTACTGGCACTCCACTGACAAATATGTCTCAGTATCGCTATGCTCTTAACCAAACAAAACACGGAAAGGCACAATACATGAAAAGTAATTACAATAAAGGTGATAGGGAGAGTAGTGACCCAGAGAGGACAGTATAGACAGTTAGTATGGTGTGCTTCAACGCACATCCCCAAACCGAGAGACCTGCACTATTCCCTTAGGAATCAGACACATATACACACACACACATACCCACGCGCGTGCACCTTACACTTCACCCTCTCGCAGTCTCACACTGTTTTTCTCACCTCCACACATTGCTTTTTCTTTCACTTCTTCCCCCCACCCCGCACCCCCCCCCCCCCCCCACTCACCCATACCGCCCTGTTATTAGTTCACACTTCTCGAGTTTTTCGTACTTCACCTTCGTTTCTTCTGTTCTTCTTTCACACTGTACGTTTCGAACTCTTCCACGTATATATTGTTGTTTATTGAAAGATTTCATTATTGACACGTTATTTCACTGATGTTTGCCGCTAGAAAATCGAGTAGGATTTTTTGTATCCATATTTTATTCTGGTCGATTGCTGCGTCCAAATTTCCGTTTCGCTAATTCTGCTAACGTTATTGTCTCCGCCCCACCCCACCTTTTCGAATACGGAAAGTGTTCAGCACAGCTGAACAACTCCAGCCAGCATACCGCAGAATATCCCGTACGGTACGCGAGACATTTGCGTACGATATTTCGCGTGTAGGCACCTCTGATTTTGCACTGCAAAGTGCATTTTACTATTCTGTGAGTGTGCCGGTGATTACCTAACCAACCATTGAGGATCAAACGAGACTAACCAAGTGCATCTGACTTTGTGAGTGGAGTAATCGACGCTTGTTCAGAATACATCTCTAGGCTGAGGCTGACAAGTGTTTCGCAATATTCCAACATTGCTTTCCTGAATATCATTCTGCTACGGTTCACGAACCAATTCAGAAAGGTGGTGTCGACCCAACAAGCATTACGTCATTATGCTTGCACATCAGGGTGAGCAACAGTTCGCAGTCCCTGTAAAAGCCAAGACTAAAGTTGTAGTTAGCGACCGTACAAGAATCTCCTACGAATTGTCTGGTGTTGAGTTGGGAAGTGGGAAATATGGGAAAGTTCAGAAGGCGATGAATAAGCTGACTGGAATGGCTGTCGCCATGAAGATCAACGACCCAATTCGGGTCCCAGCGGACGTGCGCGAGTGGGAGGTAAAAGTGCTCTTGCGGCTGCGAGCTAGTGGCGGCAATCGGAGCGTCGTGACTATGCTTGACGTAGTGCATTCCAGTGATCTGAACAGTCATCGTATTGTTATGCCACTTCTAGGCATGACACTGAGCCGTCTACTAACGCGGGACATCAACATTGCCCGTGTGGATGTACACCCGATGGAGGCCAAATTGGAGATTACACGACAACTGTTCGATGGTCTGAAGTACATCCATTGGATCAAGATTGCTCATAATGACATCACAATGCAAAACATCATGCTGGACTTTGAGCATGGCAGCGTCCGATTCATAGATTTCGGCAGCTCGTCGGACACGAGCTCCGAGACGAACATGAAGACGAATGTTACCCAGACGCTTATGGATGTGTATGATTTGACACGCAAGATTATCATTCCTTTCTGGACGGTGACGTACTTCGGTGCCACAGAAGACCGGGCAATCAAAGCACTCAGCTCCCGAGTCGAACATCACGAACACCTAGAGAAGGCTAAAAGTCTCTTATTCATGGTCCAGTCGGTTGAGATGAAGGCTCTTCTCAATGAGAATCTCAACTTCTATGATGATCTAAGTGCCGGTGAGAAGGCAGCGATCGCCGAGCTGGCCAGACTTAACTTTTCTCTGACTAATGTGACGAAGCGTTCCGTTGATTTCCCCGCTGACCTTCACAATATATTGCAAGAGGGTTTGCTATTGGCCCCCGCAGCAAACATCAGCTCCCGCAGGATTTCTGCTAAACTCGAAGAACTGATAAGCAACGAAGACGCTATAGCCGGCCAACGGTTCATTCGAGACTTAGCAGGAACTGAAGAGGCTTACATGGGTGAATAGCACTAAAAACAGACGACTTACAGGCCTGGGGAACAACCAACCCCCCCTGCCCTGGTATCAACCCTGTTCTAGACGATCCACAGGCTTGTAGAGTAACCAACCTGATATCATTGCCCATATTCTCATTGCTGCAGACACCCTCTCTCATATCTCTTGGAATATTGTTCGTTTTCGTCAAGTGTTTCATTTCTGTGATGTCTATGCATTACGAGTGTTAGGATCACTGAATCTAACACGAGTGTAATTGATGAGTTCTTGATTTAAAGTTTTTTTTGGTTTGGGTTTGAAATCCTTTATTGTACACATGCGTTTTTCTGATTTCTTCTCCAGTGTATGATTTATTGCATTTTAAACCATCGTGTTAATTTGCCCGCTAAAGAGGCCTATAAGTATAAACGTCTTAAAACCCGAGGTAACGATTCAAGAGGGGTCAAACCCAGGATGTAGAATCAAGCTGGGTAAAACCCAACATAGCCTTGGAGTGTTGTTCGTTTTTGTCCAGTGCTTCATTTCCGCTATGGTCTCTGTATTACGAGTGAAAACGTCTTAAAACACAAAATAGCGAATCAAGAGGGGTAAAACCCAACATAGCGAATCAAGCTGGGTAAAACTCAACATAGCCCTCGAATATTGTTCGTTTTGTCAAGTGCTTCTTTTTTGTCAAGTGCTTCTTTTCAGTGTTGGTCTACAATGTGTGTATTACGAGGGTAAAGATCGTAAAACCCAAGATAGCTTTCCGTGAAGCATGTAGGGGACATTTTAGCTCGGGTTAAGTAATCTTTGCGACGGTGTTGCCGCCGCCTCAATGTCATTTACTAGTACTACCGGTGTTTTTCTACCATGTGCAAAATTAACAAGGCGAACACATTGCATGGAGTGCAGTTCCGTACTTTTTTTGTCTCGGGAGGCGATTCGTATCCGGGGGAAATCATTATTAGGGAGGTTAAGTCTCACGTAATCTGTGGGTACTTTACGTGAGTGTAGCACGTGATACGCAGTGACCCACGTACAAACGTTGCCTGATTCACGATAATTATACCGTGTACGGAGGCTCACCCACATTCCGTAAGAACGTGCGTGAAAATCAGAATGGAGTGCATTTTGCAAGCTGTGAGGGTGCTAAGCTGAAGAAGTTTCCGCAGCGCGAAATGAAAATATTCGATGAGCTTATAGGCTTCGTTTTTGACCAAGTTTGGGGCTTCCACTCCATGCTTTTGTTTGTTCTGGGTGACTAAAAACAACATTCTGAACGTGGGTCAACTGCAGGAAATTTACGTGTGTCATCCACGTTTCTGTATCCGTTACGTGGGACTAAACCTCCCTAGGTCAACACACTGTGATCTCGCTCCATATTAGGGACGCTTAGTAAGGTTCGAACGGAAGTTGGAGACTGGGTTTGAGAGAAGTACCAAGGCTCGAAACTTCGAAAACTTGAACGCGAATTTTGCAAAAGTTGCTTTCGCTTTCCTCAAGACGCACTTGATGGCGGGGAGTAGTGAATGTACAGCTCCATGCTTGATACGCCAACCACATCCGCACATCACCCCTACTCCCCTTTGTCTTGCTGTCCAGTGTCTGCTGTCCAGTGTCATTTCAGTTGTCCTCTTCCCCTGATTATTAGTAGGGCTGTTTTTGCTACAAGACCTGTTGTTGTTGTTGTTGTAGAAGTTTATTTAACGTCGCACCACAAACAGGCGATTTCGCCTCCTTTGATACATGTGGACGACAGAAGGAATGAGAGAGAGGGGGGGGGGGACAGAAGTATGGAGAGAGGAAGGGTAGAAATAAATAAGCAATCAACCTCAGGGCTACACCAAAGCAAAAACGGAATGGGAACATACTATATACAAAATAGCTTCATACATATATTGCAAAACACGTTTACTATTCTTCAGTCCGCTATACCACAGAAACACACTAGCCGAAAAGCATTTAAACGGAGCCATGATGCGCTTTTAGCAGGGCACAGAACTGAAGGTGGCTGGGCTCGGAACGGAGATCAGGCGGGAGCTGGTTCCACAGGACTGCGCCGATGAACTGCATGGTCGCTCGACCCGCAGGACCGGGCCAAAATGGTACTCGAACGAGGTGATGTGCTGCTCCCCGAGTGCGGTCACCAGTAACTCTCACGAAGAAGCTGGTGAAGAGGGAGCTAGCTCGGGAGAACAGACAACGACGGACAAAGATGAGGAGCTTAATGTTAAACATGTCCTCCAGGGTGGTGAGGCGGAGCTGTTCAAAGATCGGGCTCGTGCGCGACCACGGTGGCAGACCGAAGAAGCCGCGGATAGGGCACTTCGTTAGACGTGTGAGGGGCTCCATGTTGCCAATTTGAAGTGACGGATAAACGGCGTTGGAAGCGTACGACAACCTACCCTGGATCATCGACCTGTAAAACAGGATCTTTGACGCCAGGGTGAGGCTTCGGCGGCTCCGCCACAGCGCACCTACTGACTTCCGCACCTGCTGGATTGTGTGATTGACGTGAGGGACCTGCTAGTATCACACTCACGACTACAAGTTTCCTGGTGCGCATCGACATGGGCATCAGTGGGGCCTCCCGCTGTCGATCCTGTTGACGGGCGGACAGGTCGGTGTGAATCCTGAACGGCAACCGAGCCTGTCGCGTTGGGGGATCTCGGCGGTGAGTCTCGCCTCGCCTGCATACATGGACATTGCAACATCATAATAATAAACAACATACATGTACATGTACCGGTACTTTCCATTGGCATCATTATTCCGTGTAAGATTTTCGTCGCCTGTGTGGTTTTCCTCCACCAATGAGCGCGTACTATGAATATTTATCGCTGTTCTCACACTTTACCATTTTAGCAGCTTGCATGTGCCATTGTTATAATATGTCGAAAACGCGCACTTGCGCCATTTCTGGTGTATAATAATGATCATTCCTCCATTATCATCATTATCCTCCTCTACTGATGAGCTCCGACAGCGAGCGAAACAGCTGTCTAGAGGCGGAGAACAATATAATCTCTCAACGGAAGTGTCCTTGTTTGTGTCTGTATGGTTCGGCTGAAGAGCGCGTGGTGGTAATGAGTTGGGAATGCAATAAATTGAAAATATGGCCCAAAGCTCTGTCGCAATATTTACTGCTGTGTTTGCTGGCAAAAAAAGTACAAATGAAAATAAACTGCGCTACGTATACCAAAGGGTGCTATAATCTTCAAAGTAATCCGGGAAACAGTCCATTCGCCTCGAGGTTTCCGTTCAAAATATCACCCTCAACGGTTCGACCTTTCGCGTCTCTAAACGTCCCTATTGTTTTCTAGATTAGTGTCACTTAGGAGTTTAGTGTGATCGCCCCCCCCCCCCTCTTCCCCTCCCATTCACACTTCCTTCCGTCTGTTCAGGTTTGCTTTGTTTTGCTGATAAATCGCACATGCATATTGTTACCTTCACCCATGCATATTGTTACCTGCTGAAATTGTCCCCCGCTGAATACATGTAGTATAATCACCTTTTTGTTTCGCTCTTTTCCCTTTTCTTTCCCTTTTAACGTTATTACTTTGTCCATATAAGATTAGTTTCAAGTAGTTCCCATTCCATTGTTACGTAGATTCACTGATGAATGTAACAAGAAAACAGTTCTGAACAAATCCTCTCTTTCCCTTTTGTTGTGTGCTTTGCGATCATCGTATAACATTTAACACTTGCATGTCGTCATAATAGGAAGTGCCTACAGTACAACTAGCCCTATTTGAAAGCTATATTGAAACTAAGTTTATATTGCGTATTTAATGTCATCCTATTTTCAGAAATCAAGAATTTCGGGTGGACACACCCATTATTTGCTGGTGTGATAAAAGGTGGAAGCAAGCGTAGATAAACTGTTTATCTAATCTTGGTGGAAGGAACATCCGTTGCTCCGCCAATCTGCTCCTTACATAATATGTTTTTTTATGTCGAGCACTGATCAGGGTCTCAGAAGTAGGGACAAACTCAGCCATTTAAAAAATATTCTTAACCGTCCACCTCTCCACACTGCGTCTTTTAGCGGCTGATTCGCACCACCACTGTTGTGTGTGCGCTTGTAAAAACAACTTTGTCGTCAACGACAGGAGTGGCCGCGGAGGAACCTCACGCAGCGGGCGGGCTGTGCAGTGAATGTCCCACGGGCCTCTGGGACTGTCGCGTCCTCTGGCCTTCCGTTTCTCTCACCTCGACGTCACGTCACTATAGCACCGTTACTTCAATCTATCATTATGCATGTATTTGTGGCAACGTTAGTGCAAACTTCTAATCAATTGTCTGCTTCAAGCGCGTCTCTAAATTCCAGCGCCCCCTGTATGCATGTTCCAGCAGCACTGTGCGTTTCGTTATCACCTTTAGAACTTTTGTTACCTTCAACTTCTTTGGGTACGCCATTTATTATGTGGAAGGTGCGAAATTGTGCGCAACTTTACCCTATAAATATACTTATTCCTTTAGAAGTAGTATTAGTAGTATTCATATTTCTCTAGGGCAGTCCCCACAGACCTATAGTCTCCTTACGGGGCACCCTAGCTAATCTAAGGTTGCGATACGAAATTGACTTGGTGAAGCAGCAAGGTGGACCAATGGCGGAATTGAGCTCCAGCGGTCAGTGGCTAAATAAGAAAGAGAGGAATAACCAAATCGAGAGGAGGCTCGTGGCAGTACAAGTCCAAGCGAGACTTTATCTGCCATTCATTCGTTATCTACCTCCACTGAGGAGCTTTAATGAGGGAACCAGTTGTCTGGAACATAGTAGTAGTAGTAGTAGTAGTAGTAGTAGTAGTAGTTTTTTTTCTTTTGTTTTTTTTTTCTATTACGAATGCCCTCTTCAGTGTAATCCCTGTTTCGTGCCTTGGAGTTACAATTGTGTTCTTTCTTGTTTTCTCGCTAGCTTCTCTGATTATTGATTTTGAATTGCCTTCATCATTGTTTTGCTTTGAATCTCTTTTTCGTTTTTGTTCCTTTTCCATATTTATAATTTCGGGTTTTTCAAATAAAGATTT